GTGGTCGGACCTGTTCTGGGGGCGGCCTCGCCCGCGGGCGTTCCGCCTACCGGCGCCTTCTCATTCGGTGCGTGGTTGTGAGCGCTCCCGCCCGCCGGACGCCGGGGCCGCCCCGGGTGTCCAGGCCCGGCTGAAGGTGGGCCTCCCCGGCAGGTGGGGCAGGAGCCCCCGACGAGCCGGGAGTGGCAGCCCCTTGGAGAGCGATGACGGAGTATAAGCTTGTGGTCGTGGGTGCCGGAGGCGTGGGGAAGAGCGCCCTGACCATCCAGCTGATCCAGAACCACTTTGTGGACGAGTATGACCCCACTATAGAGGTGAGCCCGGACCGCTTGACTTGGGCCCCCGGCAGTGGCCCGAACTAGGGGCCCCTTGAGCCAAGATGGGGCTGGCTCTGGTCCCGCACCCTGCAGGTGGCACAGCCCTGCTCCTCCTTGGCCAGTGGCTTGAGAGGCCCCAGGGTGGGGCTGTCCGGCAAACCCTCCGTTTGAGTGGCCACATCCTCCTGCAGGACTCCTACCGGAAGCAGGTGGTCATTGATGGGGAGACGTGCCTGCTGGACATCCTGGACACAGCGGGTCAGGAGGAGTACAGCGCCATGAGGGACCAGTACATGCGCACGGGGGAGGGCTTCCTCTGCGTGTTTGCCATCAATAACACCAAGTCCTTCGAAGACATCCATCAGTATAGGTGAGCCCAGGAACCCGTGGCCCGGTGGAGCTGGGCGGCTCTCTGCATCCGAAGGCCTCCGTGCACCTCCTGGCTTCCGCCATGCCTTCGGCCCAGCAGACTGACACCTTCTTCCGTCTCAGGGAGCAGATCAAGCGGGTGAAAGATTCAGACGATGTGCCAATGGTGCTGGTGGGGAACAAGTGTGACCTGGCCGCACGCACTGTTGAGTCTCGGCAGGCCCAGGACCTTGCCCGGAGCTATGGCATCCCCTACATTGAGACATCCGCCAAGACCCGGCAGGTGAGAGGCTCCAGCCCCAGCCAGCCAGGGACGCGCCCGCCCCACCCTAGTCAGGCAGCTGCGCTCATTGCCCCTCTCCCTCAACACAGGGCAGCCGCTCTGGCTCTGGCTCTGGCTCCAGCTCCGGGACCCTCTGGGACCCCCCCACTGGGACCCATGTGACCCAGCAGCCCCCATGTTGTAAGTCTCCCTGGGCATCAGGGCAGCGAGGGAGGTGAGGGTCTGGGTCTGGGCTCATGCCCTCCAGTCCTGGGCTGCCACAGCTCCAGGGAAGTGGGGGTCCATGGAGAGGGCTTCCCTGAGCCAGGCCGGAGCGGTAACCCTGAGGCCCAGTCCCTCTTGTCCCCAGTGTCCTGTGGGCACCTATTGGTCCCTAGCCCTTAACAGTTTGGTAGGGTATTTAAGCCTAACCCCAATCAAGGATCCTGGAGGGTTCTGGGCTACTCTAAGCTTTAAGGGGCTGTTCAGTAGTGAGTTCCTCTAGGAAGGTGGCCCTTTGGCTTCCAGCTGCGCACAGCCCGACTCCCCAGTTGTGTGTGAGGGAAGCGGGGGCTAAGGAAGGAGCAGTCTGCTGTCCGGGCTCTTCTAGGATGTTGGCTAAGTGCAAGGCAGGGAATGTCCCACCCAGGGGGGGTCCCCACGTCTTCTCCCCCAGTGAATTTGTCTCTTATCCAGTTCCTCTGTTCCTAGGGTGTGGAAGATGCCTTCTATACGCTTGTGCGAGAGATTCGGCAGCATAAGCTGAGGAAGCTAAACCCGCCTGATGAGAGCGGCCCAGGCTGCATGAGCTGCAAGTGTGTGCTCTCTTGACGCCAGGTGAGGCGGGGCCAGACAAACGCCAGGACAGTGGCCCTGGTTGGCTAGACGAGCCTCCGTGTCTGCTCTGATGTCTCCCTGCCGATGATTAGTGGCATCCTTTGTGCCCACCCAGTCCCAGGCTTAGGACATGGAGGAGCCGGATGTGGGGAGGAGGTGCAGACGGAAGGAAGCAAGGAAGAAGGAGGGAAGGAAGGAAGGAAGCAAGTGCCACTGGAGCCCAGCCAGCCCAGGGACGGTGGACAGAGGTGACCAAGACCCTCGCATGGATGCTTTGCACAGACTGTCATGAACTGTTCCAAATGCCACAGGCACCCTGGCCCTTGACTCCCCTTCCAGCCCTCTTTGGGCCTCTATTGGGTGCAGGTTGAATCAGTAAATTATTTGACGGTCTTGACTGTGTCAGGCTGGGTAGAGTGTTTTGTCTGTGGTCCCAGGGGCTTGCCTTTGTCCAGCTGTTGGCCTTCCTGAAGGCAGGCTGGAGAGGCTGGCCAGGGCATGAGCCATACCACCCTCCTCAGCTCCACCACCAGCACCCCTACCTCCCCTAGTTGTTTGCCGAGTACCGATAGCTCTGGATGCTCCAAAAACAGGCAGATTGTAATGAAAAACAGTTTTTTGTCCTTTAACTTGAGCTAAGGGAGTTTCTTCTGTTCCAGGAAGGAGGCCTTCTTAGGGAATGCTGGGTACAGACTGGGGCTCTGTCCCCTGTCGTAGAGTTTCCTTGCACTGAAATTTTGGGGCCCTGAAATGCAGCCCCAAAGGTGGTAGAGCAAGGAAGCCAGTGGGCCCAGAATCTTTCAGTCCTGGGACTAGAGCTGGGATTGCTAGGCTCCGTGTGGTCTCAGACCTGTGCCCCATCCATGCACAGGTGGACAGGTTTTTGTTTTTGTTTTTTTTTGCCAGTCCTGGGGCTTGAACTTAGGGCCTGGTCACTGTCCCTAAGCTTCTTTTGCTCAAGACTAGCACTCGACTACTTGAGCCACAGTGCCACTTTTTCCTTTTTCTTTGTATGTGGTACTGAGGAATCAAACATAGGACTTCATGCAGTCTAGGCAAGCACTCTACCACTAAGCTACTTTCCCAGCCCAGTTATTTTTAAGATACATACATGCATACACACACACACACACACACATAACTGTATTGAGATTAAATGATTACATACATTTCACAGAATTATAGGATAGTGATACTTAAAGTTACAAACATGTTTTAGCCATCACAAAGCAAATTGTCATGATCTTGGTCTATATAGCCCAGTTATTCTTTTTTTGTTGTGTTGTGGGGCTTGAACTCTGGGCCTGGGTGTTGTCCCTCAGCTCTTCAGCTCAAGGTAAACACTCTACCATTTGAGCCACAGCGCCACTTCCGGTTTTCCAGTGGTTTATTGGAGATAATAGTCTCACAGACTTTCCTGCTCAGGCTGGCTTTGAACCACAATCCTCAGATCTCAGCCTCCTGAGTAGCTAGGATTACAGATGTGAGCCACTGGTACCTGGCTATAGCCCAGTTATTTTTTTTTTTTTTCTTTGGGTCCGGTCGTGGGGCCTGAACTCTGGGCCTGGGCGCTGTCCCTCAGGTCTTCAGCTCTAGGCTAGCGCTCTACCACTTGAGCCACAGCGCCACTTCTGGCTTTTTTTCTTTTTTGCTTATGTGGTGCTGAGGAATCGAACCCAGGGCCTCAGGCATGCAAGGCAAGCGCTCTACCACTGAGCCACTTTCCTAGCCCCCCAGCCCAGTTATTCTTAAACCACCTAAAGTCACCAGTGTGGCCTGGAGGGCCATGCATAGGCCCAGGTAGCTGCATGGACTCCAAGAGAGCTTTACCTTGGGCTATTCTAGGACTGGCAAGGCCACAGGGACATGCATGCTCTCGTCCACACCTTGACTGCTGGTAACCGTGGTGCCTTCCTTCTTGGGTTGAAGTCTGGGACTTGTGTAGCGGGAGGGTGCTCAGTCCCATAGGCACCTGCTGGGTGCTTGGGCATGTGGACACCCCACTTAGCCTTCTCTGCAGTAGCAAATGTCCAGCGTCCCTGTGCGCATGGGTTTGGGTCTCCCGGGCACCGTCAGGGGCTGTGCACGCGGGTTTGGGGCTCCTGGGTGCTGTCCCCGGGTGCTGTCTGGGGCTGTGGTCAGCTTCCCTGTGCCCAGGGATGGGGCTTCAGCTTGCCAGTGCTGCCCTGGCTTCCTGGGGCCATGTTGGCAGCGTGTGCCACATGGGTTAGACGTAAGGCTTGCCGTGTGGAGCCGTCCATGGCTCCATCCTGGGACGGAGTCTCCCTGGCAGGCCCTGTGCTGTAGTCCTGGGGTGGGCAGGCGGATGGAGGACCCAGGGCTGCTGCTGGAAGTGGTAGCGTTGGAACCATGGACGTGGGGCCGGGCACACCCCTTTTGGAAGCTGACCTCTAGCTAGAGCTCACCCAGGGAGGCTAAAGGTACTCGGCAGTGTGTGACCCGCCCAGGTCCAGCCCCAGTTAGCTTTCTCTAGAGAATCCCACAAGCCACCCTGGAGCACCTTCAGGAGGCTCTCAGGGTACAGAGCTGGGTGTGGGGTTGGTGTGCTGGGTAGCTCCAGTGCCACGTCCTCCCTGCATTGCTGCCTCTGCCTTCCCCTGTGTCCACTCCAGGGATCACTGCATAGGAGGCCATGGCCAGAGGTAGGCTCGGTCAAGGAGATGCCTTGACTCCTGCTTTTATCTGTTTGCAGTGGGTTCAGTGTCTAACAATTGCCAGTCCCTTGCCCACCTCACCACACTGGCCGGGCCCCTCGGTGACCACCTCACGTGGGCATCCGGTGGAGCACCGCCTGGGCGTGGCCTGGTCTGCCCCGCAGGTTCCTGGGGTCCCCAGGCTGACTTCTCTGCACCCGAGTGTGCCGTGGCCATGTGCATACGCTCACGCTCCAGGACACGGCCGTCCCCGCGCTACAGGGCAGCCTGCAGGGGACCTGCAGAGGCAGCAGGCCGGGGGTCCTGCCCGTCCAGGCTGGGGCAGGGGCCTGGGCGGGGCCCAGGGGTGGGGCTCCAGAGGCTGCACCCAACAGGCTGAGGGGCTGCTCCTGGGGCCAGCTGTTGGGAACGGCTCCTGGAAGAAGGGGTCGCCGGGTGGACTTACTTGGTGGGGACAGGGCTCCTGGAGGAAGGGGTCACAGGTGAGCCGGATCCTTCTGGGGCTGGGCTCCCTGGCGTGGGGTCTTCCTGCCCGTTTTTGCCCAGGTGCGGAAGCACAGAGGGCAGAGGCTCCTAGGGCTCCGTGTGCTAGTCCAAGCCTTGCCTGTTCCAGAGCCTTCTGCAGCACGCAGGGCCCAGGAAAGGCCTCAGCTTCTAACCGCCCCTCAGGCCCAGGGCCGTGGAGGCGTTGAGAGGAGTCCCTTGGCTTCCGTGTTCAGATCTGGGGGGCTTTCCCTCAGCTTCTGCTCAGGATGGGCGTGGGGCTGCAGGACGGCTGGGCACGCCCTGTGGAGCTTCAGCAGACAGCCGGTTCCCAAGGATGGAGTGCAGCCTTGAGGACCGGCCAGAGTCCCAGGAGCCAGCAACCCCTCCTGCCAGAGGCCCACGGCGGGAGGCGGAAGGGCGCCCACAAGGCCTGGCTGGACTTGCTTCCAGCTGTGTGGGGTTCCGGAAGGGGAGGGCAGGACCCTAGAGACAGGAGGGTGTGAGAGCCAACGCGGCCGTGCAGTGGTGAGGGTACGAGCTGGAGTGTGTGGTCATCTCCTGGGCTACTTGAAGGGACATGGGTGAGGAGCTGGCATCGGGGCACTGGCCATGGCTGGTTAGGAAGGCTCCGACTGTGTATGAGTCAGAAGGACCAGCAGGAAGCCGAGCATCACCAGACAGCCCGCACAGAGGGCTCTGCTGGTGGGGGCATCAGATGTCCGACTCGGGGTATGGGGTCCTCGGCCAGTCCTAGGTCTGTGGGACCCCAGAACGAGTTTGAGAGAGAAGGTGCTGTGGCTATGGTTCTGAGTGCATGGGTGGCAACCTGACTCAGCTGTGCGGCCCTGAGAAGCTGGGCGCTCACCATGCCAAGTGTGCCCCTCACAGCTCAGTAGCCGAGCCAGTGCCTAGAAGGTGTTTTCTTCATTGAGGACCATCACTGGAACAGGAGCAGCCTGACTCAGGCAGTGATCCCTGCCTGACCCGTCCAAATCCCCATTGGAGGAAATGGACCAGGAGGGTGGAGGCTAGGGCTGTTAGAGGCTCCAGGACCTCTGGAAGTGTGACCTTTGCACTCCATCCCTGACCCTGAGTATTGGGGCCTGGATGGCTGATGGTCTGCCTGAGTTAGACAGCTGGGCAGAAGCCCCACGGTGGGCGTCTCCTGGGAAGAGTGGTATCAAAAGTGATACAAGTCCTCCGCTTTCCCAGGGGCAGGAGCCCAGTGGAGCTTCCCTCCTTATCTCCTGGGCAGCAGTGGGTACCTGCCACATCCCCACTGATGGGCAACCCCGCCCGGTGCTTCACGGGCCAGCCACATCTTTCTGCTGAGTTGAGTGCCCTGAAGTGCTGCTGAGCTCGCTGGGTTCCAGGGTAGCCTCAGGAGGGGTCGGGTTCAGCTGGGCCCTTCTGCCCCGTCCTAGGCTGTAGACTAGAGCTCCGTGTTGGACCTCCATGCCCCAGTGGGCTCCGTGTCTTTGATGTGTCCTGGTTGGTCATGAATACTGATCATAAAAGAGGCACCCTGGGTCTGGGGACCGGCAGCTCACACCTCTAATCCTAGCTACTCAAGAGGCTGAGAACTAAGGTTCCCAGCTGGAAGCCAGGCTGGGCAGGAAAGTTTGTGACACTCATCTCCAATAAACCACCCAAAAGTCGACCGCAGCACCGTGGCTCAAGTAGCAGAGCACTCACCTTGAGCAAAAAAGGCTCAGCGACAGCGCCTAAGCCCTGAGTTAAAACCCCAGGACCAGCAGAGAAGAAGCAGCACCCCCAATGCCAACAGGAACCCACACCCCCTCAGGGGTGGACGGCACTGCCTATGAAGGGAGGGCTGGCTGGCTACCTGGGCGTTGGCAATTTCTGCAGTAAATACAGGCAGGGTTTGGATTGTGGATTATGCCGTGGTCCCCTCAGGACAACTCAGTTTCTCTTGGTCAGTCATGGGGCTTGAACTCTGAGCCTGGGCGCTGTCCCTCAGCTCTTCAGCTCAAGGCTAGTGCTCTACCACTTGAGCCACAGCACCACTTCCAGTTTTCTGGTGGTTCATTGGAGATAAGAGTCTCATTGAGGGCTGGGAAGGTGGCTCAGTGGTAGAGCGCTTGCCTTGCATGCATGAGGCCCTGGGTTGGATTCCTCAGCACCATATAAGCAAAAAGAAAAAAGCTGGAAGTGGCGCTGTGGCTCAAGTGGTAGAGTGCTAACCTTGAGCTGAAGAGCTGAGGGACAGCG